ATTCAAGGCTTCTCATTTAGCTATTCTTTGTACTGATAAAAAATAATTGCGGCTATTAAAACGCTATGCATTTGTGAAAACCGAAATTAGTTTTTTGCCAATTCATCATTTCCATCTAAACTAATGCATGTTTACTCAAAATTAGAGAAAAAAAGAACAATCTACTTGTGTAAATTTCGTACTCGTACTTTGGGTCCCTCGAAATTGGGTCATTTACTATGTCTCTGTATTTCTCGTGTCTCAAAGGAAAAGCATGTTTTGATCGACAGCCACTATCTTGTACCTCGTTGCCCCAAGGAATATTTCAGTTATGCTCGATTCGAAACTATTCACTGCGTTGATTTTTCATAGACGTTGACGAGACTGTCGTGCGCAGCCAGAAAAAATAGTATATACGTGGTGGTGAACATCGCCGAAAAGGATGGTATATATTATTACAACTCCAACGTTGTGTTTGATCGAACAGGAAAGATAATTGCTAGGTAATGTTAGTATAACTATCTATCGATTGCGATTGAAGTATTTTTTCCTTGACACGAACAGGTACCGGAAGACAAATCTGTACGATGAACCGTGGTTCGACAAGCCGAAGACACCGGAAGTCGTCACGTTCGACACCGACTTCGGTGTAAAATTCGGTATAATCATATGCTTCGATATATTATTCTCCGAACCGGCTCTGAATTTGACGAGAACGCTAGGCGTTTCGAACATCGTGTATTCATTCGCCTGGGACACCGAGGTGCCTTTCTTAACACGTAAGCTAAGACAACGTGGTGCATACAACCGTTGTGATTAGAGTAGCAGAGTTTTGAAAATGTCTTCCCAGCTGTCCAAGTGCACGCCGGATGGGCCCACTCGCAGAACGTCAATCTACTAGCAGCCGCGTATCACAAACCGGACTGGGGAAGCAGTGGCAGCGGCATTTATTGGGGTAATGCGTTTTAAAATTGTATAAAAATGATCCATTCCTTTTATCGTTATTTCGTATCTAGGTCGTGACGGAGTAAGAAACGCGACGATGATCACCAATCTGAAGCATCGGCTTCTGATCTCTCGAGTCCCAAAGAACCGGAACCCGCAAACGTGCGACGCGGACACCAAAGACTGCACGACAACGGCTCATAACTACATGCCAGCTCCTCGAGACTGGCAAAAACCAGGGGACTATAATGGGATAAAAATGTTGCACAACGACTTCACAGTGTTTGAATACGTTCAGCTAAATGACACGCAATTCGCCCAGACCATTTGCCAGAACAACCTTTGTTGTGACTTCGATATTAGTGCAAAAGGCATCGATTCCACGCCCGTTAATTACCGCGCTGTAGTTCTTGACGGAATTCGACCCTACGGATATGGCATGGATGGCGGCACTCGTGTATGCGGTCTGATACAATGTGCCAACGAGTCGATAACTTCTTGCGGTTCCGTTATGCAAACGAATACTACTTTTACCCATGTGACTATTCGAGCGACATTCGGTGAAGATTATTCAAGTACTGTAACATACCCTAGCGTGCTGAATCCTGCGTTAGTGCCCTTCGATCACTGGACGTTTACCGAGGAGGAGGATGATAACCAAACACGCGTAACTATGACTCTGACGGAGCCTACATCGGATCTCGTGACTTTCAGTATATACAGTAGAGTCTTCAGCAGAGACAAATGGAACCTCCCTTGACCCTGGGCTCACATGTCTTTCGACTGATACTTCATGTATCGAAGTGGTAAATAAACCTTGAAAATAACGACTGATTGCGTTGTTCATTTTACTGGTCCTCTTTTTCCCTCGACGATGCGATCTCTACGTATGAAAACGATCGTCGGATGTAACCACAATAGTGAAACCGTTTTAGAAAAACATCGTCACGCACACAGCGAG